GCCAGTTCTGGGATGCAGAATCTGTTACCCCTCCTCACAGTGGGGGACGAATGCAGGAAATTTGCCAATAGCCTGTAACTAGTAACTAGCCCAAGAGTGGCCAGAACCCTCTTTCCACTGTCCCCCTCTGACTTTCTTGAGGAAGTCAGAGGGACTTGGGATATGAACTACCAGGCATGCAGCAATCCTCTTTGTATTCTTCCTGAGCTGAGAAGAAATGCATGCGTCTGAGCACTGGAGATAAACAAGCATGGGTTCAAATCCTGACCCCTCCTCTTTGATTCTGGGGAATGAGCTTCCCAAAGGTGCAGGGGCTTAACAAGTTACCTTCATGTTGTCCACCTATCTTCTAGCTGTGCAATCATGTAACCTCTCTGAGTTTTATATTCTTCATGGTTATGAATGAAATGTGGGTGGATTATGAAGGAATGATGGAGCCAGGTCTGCATCCCCCTTAAGCAGAGCAGAGATAATAAAGGCTGACATAAAAGCACAATCAGCAAACAAAAAAGAACTTTCAGAAATTGAAAACAACATAACCTCTCAACAGAAGACCTGCAATTACAAACAACTAGAATATTAGATAAAACGCACAAAATATGTGTTTTCGGACACTGGGTGATAGGCAATGCAGGACAGGAATTCCCAAGAGAAAGGAGACAGATACAAGCAGCATCTAGGTTTGTGGGGGCTTTTGGCTAAAGAAAATGATCTTCGGGCTGGGATTTTTATGGGAGGGTGGACTTAAGTTTGGCCTGTAGGCTAGGCAGGAACTACCTAGGGCAAGGCCACAGGCAGAGGCGCAGAGGAAGGACAGGATCCTGCAAAGATGGAGTCTGAGTGCAGCTGGCTGGGGGAGGCACTGGCCAGAAATGAGTCATATGGCCAATGAGGTCCACTTAGCAAGCCTAGAGGATGGTTCTGGGAATGAATTTCCATTAGTCCCAGGGGCTAAACATGTTACCCTAATGTTGCCCACCTAGATTGCCCCATTAGTCCCCCCGCCCCAGTCTCTGGGATGGCTGGGCAAAGGGTCAGGTGGGGGTGCAGTCCCAGCTTGGGAGAGACAGCTGTGCAGGCCTCCTGCCTGCTGCAGGGGATTAACTGGCACCACCACAGTTTCTTGTATATGGGGGCACCTGGCTCCTGGCTCTGCCCATTCCTGTACCATTTAACTCTTGCTGCCCGGGCCCATCATGCTCATGTTTCAAGGCATGTTCATACTCAATTTTCAGTGTCCTGCAAAAGATACGGAGGACACAAAAATAAAGATCTAGAGCAGGGTCTACCCAGTCAGAGGTGACAGTATTCATCACTGTTCCCCTCATGCCAGTCACAGGCCCTCTGAAACTCTTGACCTCTTTCTCAGTAAAACCCTTCTCTCTCCATGGACTCCTTCAGGTACACAACCAAGCCACTGACTTCCCCAAACCATCAAGTGAATAAGCCTTTCCCTTGACTTCTTGCCCTCTCTTCTGTCTTCTTGGCCAGACTTCCTAGAGTAGTCTGCACTATCTCTACTTCTTCTAGAAAGAGACAGCCTACCAAGACTACTTCCCTTCTTTCTGGGCACACAGCTAGACTACATTTCCCAGACTCCTTTGCAGGAGTTCTGGCCTGTGGAATATGAATGGAGCAGAGTAAGCTACTTCCTGTTCCCCTCTCCCAAACCTCAGACACATGCGCGCTACTCTTCTCCAGTGGCAAGTTTAATGCAATGTGCATCAGGCCCTTGGAAGCTCATGTGGGAGATGGAAGATCCCTAAGAGAAAGCTCATGTCTCTGAGTCATTTGGGGTGCTACTCAGGAACAGCTGTTTATTTGTTTTCATAGGAGGGAGAAATAAATGTCTGTCTTGTTTGAGCTAAGAAAAGGACTGACTTGCATTGCACCAACAATAAAAGGAATTTGGCTTCCTTCTCATCTCCCCCTGCATTACAACCCAGGAAAGCAAGGAAGAGGGGCCTGCAATTCAGATCAAAGGGTTAGAAGGCAAAAAGATAGGAGGTGAGAGATTTGTTGGGGTAGAAAGTAGCCAATAAATATATATAGCATTTGTGCTTCAACTTGAAATTGCTGAATTGAAACTTTCAGTTCAGTGCTGTGACTGCCACCTGCCTTCCCCAAACCACAAGTATGTGACACTCCAGGGCTGTGGGGAAAAATCTAAGGCAGGAACACACCTGAGTGAATAGGCCCTGGGGACCTGGGCTCCACAAGGGGGTGCCCTGGGCCAAGAAGCCAAAGGGACAGCTGACACAGCTGATAGGAGTGGTGAGGGAAGGGTTAAGGGGTCTGTGAGCAGGCTTGGTTCTCCCCTCAGTGAGGGCAGTAAAATCAGCATGTCGCCTCCAATTTGCTCCGCCTGACCTTGAACGTGAATCATTCCATCACAATGTCCTTATTGATTTCCACAGGAAGAAGATTAAGCCCAGAAAATCAGGGCGGGAACTTGAGCACAAAGCACAGAAAATGGGATGGTTCTGGGGCTCAAAATCCCTCGTGTTTGCAAATATGTCACTGGGGGCTACAGGGTGGGTAGCAGGCCCCCCCAGCTACCAGATCTCTGAGTGGCTGCGTCCTGGGCTTCTGGTTCTTACCTGTCTGGTGTGTGGCCTCTGGGGCCCTCTCAAGCTTTAAGTTGTGCAGAGGTGGGGAGGAAGCAAGGGATGGAGGAGATGCCCTAGATACCCCTTGAGCTCTGATTCTGTTCTGGGGCGTTCAACGCATTCTCCTGTGTGAGACAGCTCTTGGATCTAAGGACCTTGATCACCAACAGGCTGTTCCAGTACCGGTGTTGCTATTGAACAAGCCTGACTCCTGAAAACCCTTAAAGGGGATGTGACTGCCAGGGTGCGCATGCATGCGTGTTTCTGCACGGGAGCATAAAGGATGTGGGTCATTCTGTAGGAACTGACCTACTATTTCCATCTTCATTCAACATATCCTGGAGAGCCCACCATGCCAGCCTACAAAAGGACCGTGGAGTACACTGTGGTACGACTGTACCAACTGAAAACTCCAAAATGTATCTGTCCTTTTCCTTCACTGGTCCACCAGCCTCTCTCTTATAAGGACATTTTTTATTATATTGGACTTATCTTCACCTACGATCTTCTCCCCACCTCAAGATCCTTAACTTACACATCTTCCAGGTCCCTTTTACTGTATAAGATGATATAACCACACTCTGGAGATTAGCTCAGGGGCATTGGAGAAGGCTATTTTTTAGCTTACCACAGTTGCCTAAAAATTGGATTGGGAGGAAGTTTGGCTTCCAGGAGAAAGGGGGGGGTGCCTTTTGGATTCTCCCTTCTCTTAGCAGGGTCAAGAGTGGTTACAGAAACATACTGAGCGAACAACAGGGAAATACAGGAATGCTGAGAAGCCAAATTACTCTCAGGACCTCCCCATCCACATCTTGGGTGAGAGGCATCTGTCCCTGGTCCCACAGAGCTGGGGCCACTTCTCAAGTCCCTTCCCTGGGTGCCAGACACCCAGTTCTCAATGTCTTCTTCCTTCATTCCACCCCTTGAAGATAGTCTTCAGGTCTACCCAACCTGCATCACTAAGGGCCTCTCCGAGCATGGCACAGTGCTAGGCATGAGTGGGGCTGAAGTCAGGGTGACCTTCCAAGTCTTAAAGTCTTCTCTTCACAGCTGATTTCCTTCAGATTCAAAGCAAAGCTGACCCTCCCAGAGATGCTCAGAGGGCCAATGTCTTCATGGTTTATTGGTTATATATAAGCATGATACAGATATAGGAACACGAAAGCAGCAGGAACAGCTGGGGCCCCCCTGGCACAGGTTCCTAATCCCAGCTACCCAAAGGGACACTAGGACACATCGCCAAACATACAGGACAGTGTGGGGGTCTGAACAACCTCATGTTCATGCCCTTTTGATGCAGTGGGGCTGGGGAGACAGGCAGAGTGGGGTGTGGTGGGAATCATGGCCCTGGCTTTAGAAAGGACCCTGGCTTAGCGAAAAGGCTATGTACATGCTCAGAGACTTGAGCTGCAAATGCAAAGGCTGCTGGCAAGCTCTCCTGCTAACAGCCCTATGAAGCAGAGAGCTGGGAGCTGGCTGAGCCACACATTCAGGCCGTCTCCAGGAACCGACTGTGCTATATTCTTGCAGAAAATGTGCATTGCAAAGCTGTGTCATTGCAGACTGAAGGAGCCATTAAACAGCCAAGGGTCCTGGGAGGATGGCTGTCCAGCTGCATTGGCATGAGTGTTGCTGGACCCTCATGGTGGCAGTCATCCCCTCCCACAACCACCTCGCAAGAGCCAGCCCACCTGCCGGCTGGCCAGCTTTGGGTGGGATTGGGGGGACAGGAGAAGGGGTGGTTATGAAGCACACATGCACCTGTCCTTATTCTATCCTGAGCTAAATCAAAAGCAGGATTTCAGGGCATCCCTCTGCAGGACTTGAAGGCCATGGAGGTGGGTGAGAGGACCTGGGCCCAGGAACTCTCTCTTGCTTTTGGAAAGTCCTTCAGGGCAGCTACCTGCAGGCCTCCATGTTGCAATGAAAGCCCCTTTTCCTTTTAGTGTGTCTGTGCTGCTCTTGCAGTCAAGACCAAGAACCAAGGAAGAGACCACTACATCCTGGTCCTGCTCTTAGTCTTGAGCTCTGGTCCCGACTTCTCAGGAAAGCTCTCACCCCTCCGCCAAAGCACAGAGCCAACACTGGGCAGGGCATCAGTCCTCCATCGCGAGGCCACTCCAGACCTCAAGCCAGTGATAAAGTTGAGTCCCCGAGCCCTCAGCTGTGGCACTTCCTGTGTGTGGAGTGGGGGTCGTCCAGCGAAAGAGTCAGGATGGGCAGGCCTTGCCCATCTGGTCCCCGCCTGCCCCTCTGCCCACCTTAAATACTCATCCCATAAGTGCCCTCTATACATCAGTGCTCCGCCACACACACACACGCACACGGAGCGAGCAGGTAGCGGAAAGTGGAGGTGGCCGAGGGGGTCCAAGCAGCTCTGGACCCCAAGTCTCAGGACCACTGGCAGGCGCAGTCGGTGGGCTCCTGCACGGTGTAGGGCACCCAGGTGGCATTGGTGGCACAGAAGAGCTGCACAGAGCGCCGCTGCAGCCCCACCTCCCGGCAGCACTTGCAGAAGCGCGCATAGGTGTTGATGTTGTAGTTGTAGATGCTGGCGGAAGGACACCGCCCATCGCAGGACACGAGGTTCACCTGGAGACAGGCAGGCCAGAGAGGCAGCCTGTGTAGGCTACTCCCCTCCCCGCCGGCCCGCCTCCAGCCACCAAGCCCTCCCTCCCGCATCTTTGGCTGCCCCCAGCACCCCCAGAACCACGTGGTGGCCACCTACAGGAGTGTTGCTCCTACAGTCATTCTTGCGGATGGTCATGCGGATGGTCACCTTCTTGCAGGAGCGCCCGTCCTCCTTACCTGGGGGTGGGGGGTGAGGTGACTGTGGCTCAGAAGTGTTCTCTGGGGCAACAGGGTGGGCCAAACTGGGGCAGTTAGTGCCATGCTAGGGATCCCAGCGTTAGAGCCCATGCATCTGTCCCTTGCACCAGAGTCCCGGGGCCCTGGAAGGGGGTGGAGGCGGGGAAGGCAGGGGAGGGTGCTTGAAGGGCCTCGGGAGCTCTGGGCTGGGCAGGAGCAGGATTTGGGGACAGGGCAGTCTGCCTCTGACCCCAACCCCAACGCCCGTCTCTGTGCCCTGTTGGAGACCCTGGGTGTGCCCTCGCCTCTCTCTGGGCTGTGGTTGTTCTACTCTGAGAGGGTTTCTCGTGCTAAGGTTCTGTACTTTGCTGAGTGAATGGAGACACCAGTCCCTGGATAGTGCTTGCATACGCAGCAAGCTCAATCAGTTTCCATATGGGTCAGAGCCCCGAACCTGCCCTCTTCACGGTGGTCACAGGGAAGGACACCAGTAAGTTTGCAGAAGCCTCTGCCTGTACCCCACCTTCCACAGACAACCTAACCAACCACCCACCGAGCGACTAACTCATACCCTCACCCCTTTTGGCATTTTGTTCAAGTATCTCCTCACCTGGGCCTGTCCTGGCCCCCTTCCTGAAACTGCAACTCCCTCCTTCCTCCCAGACCTTCCTTTACCCCTCCCTTGCCTCGCCCTGTCCAGGGCACTGTGGCTGTGCTATGGCTGTGCGCGCGGAGTTACCCCAATGCCGAGGAAGCTATAGGGCCTTCTCTTGCACAGCCCCGGACACAATCTGTTCTTTTCTTTTCTCAAGTTACATATTCACTTTGCTACTTCCATGTGAATTTTTAGTTTATGTTCTTTTTCTGAAGGAGACCCTCAAACTGCATAACTTAAAAGTGGTTATAAAACCAGAGGCATCTACCCTATTCCATATTTACTTTTTATTCTTTCTTTCCCACTAACATGTCAGGTCCGTGAGGCCTTGTTAATGCTGTGTCTGCAGTGCCTGGAGCATCGTTGGTACTCAGTAAATACCTGTCAGACACATGACTGGCTCTGTAACCCCAGAGTTCTGGTTTGGGGGGGGTGGGGAGGCTCTTTCTTCTAGTCTCTGGGCCTCACCACAGTAGTTCTCCTGCCACACTAGCTGGAGGACTTGGCATCAGAGCTCAGTTCACTTTGTCCTCTCTAGTTGTTCCCAAAGCAGAAGAACCCAGGGCTGTCCTGGACCTTACCCTCCACGTTTTGACAAGACTGGCTGAGTGAACAGCAGGAGCAAAGTTGGTGGTGGCATTGGGCATTGGTGGCCACCGGGAGAGGGGACACCGCTGAAGCATTCCCATGCAAGCCCAGGGGACGCAGCTGACTACCCAGCATGCACTGTTGGCCAAATGGCCTTCACCAGAGGCAGGGAGCGGGGGTACACCCTCCCTCCCCCACCCCAGGGCTCAGGGCCACCTAGCAGAAGGGACACTGATGGAAACAGCAATGCAGCTGCCTGGCTTCAGTCCCATGGGCTTTCAAGAGGAGTACCTGGGCGGCAGTGGACACTAACCCGTGGAGGAGAGGCGGGGCTAACGGGGACCACGGGAAACAGGGTCCCCGAGAAACCTGGGGAGAGGGACATGGGTTGCAAGTCACATGGGAGCATATGGGACTTTCAGGGAACATGGAACATGAGTTATGAGTCAGAGACCAGCCAGTGAAGCACTGAGCCTGGCTTCCGTGAAGCATGTGATGTGGACATAACAGGGTTCTACCTAGAATCTTCCAAGGAAAGATCTGAGGGCTGGGGTAAGAGAAGGATGTGGGCAAAGGGCTAAAGCTGACTGGGACAGTCTTGCTTACATGTTTGGAGACTCGCTTACAGACTCGCAAGTACAAGGAGCAGGGTGTGCAGTCAGAGGTAAGAATTTTCTCTCAGACCCTACTGGAGAGCAAAGGGCCTGAATCCCACAGAGGAGACACTCCACACCCAGGACTCCTGGCCCCAGGGGGAGTTCACTTTGGGGGCCTCTGGGCTGGAGGTCTTGGAAGGGGTCAGAGGCAGAGTATCTGGTGAGCTACTGACCTCCGGAACCCCATAGTCCAATATCCCTTGTCTGCAACTAGAAGCAGAAGACTTGGGTTGGGACAGGGATATGAGAGGAGCATCTGATTTGTGCACATTTGTGCCAGAGCCCTGATCTCAAGGCAGGGGTGTTACCTCTTCTACTCATCCCTGAAGATCTACCACTGCAGGTGCTGGGCCAAGAATCTGGCCCTGTGAGCCCTGATAAGACACTGTCCCCCCACTAGAACCCCTCACTGATGGGCCTCCACCATGCTCACTCACATGTCCTGCAGCATCCTTCCAAGGATGGCACCACTGAGCCCCCAACCTAGAAGGAGAAGAGGAGAGCTGGGTGGGAGATCCTGTCCGGGCCAGGAGCCAACATCGCAGTAAGAGGCAAAAAAACTCCAAGAAACTTAATTCTTTTTCTGCTGGGGACAGGAACGCCAGGCCCCATGGTCCATTGGGCCTCGGTCTGAGAGCCAGGCCTCATGGTCCATTGGACCCCAGACTGGTGTGGGAAAGCTACAGGGGCTAGCTTGACGGGTGTGACCCAGGCTCCCCAGGGTGGCCGGGTTAATGTGGCACAAGCCCCGTCTCTGCCACTGCATGTGCCCACATAGTGCTTCCCACACAAAAGGCCAAGGGGGACAGAGGCAGAGGGAATGACCACTTGGGTCAGTGGCCTGGGTTGTAGCTTAATCCGGGATAAGCTGCCCTTTCCTCTGGGCTTAATTGTTCCCTTTCATAAATGGGAACAGTTATACCATAGCTCTCCTCTGTGTGAAATGATGGGCATGACAGTTCTTTGCATACAAGTGTGTGTGTGTGTGTGTTTGCATAGGCATGTGATTCCGTGAACATATACATGTGTGTGTGCAGGTGTGATTTTTGCATGTTTTATACATGTGTGTGTGCAGGATGTATATAATAGAGTGTGATGGTGTGTATTTGTTTTCTAGGGAAGATGAGCAAGTTTTAAATGTCTGATATTAATCTCAAATCCTGCTGCAGGGGCAGGGAGCTGGCACTGACCTTGGCACACTCAGTCTCATTGAGCGGTGGGCAGCTGATGGGCGAGCGGACGAGCACGGCGCCCAGGGGCGTGCTGCTGCAGTGGTGGCGGGCACAGTCTGCGATCCAGGATGCCCCAGGCTGGAGAGACATGGTGGACTTGTGACCTGATGTCAGCCTGAGCAGAGCAATCAGGACCAACTCCGAAGATGGCTGCAGCCCAGGATCCTGCCTGTTCCCAGCCTTGGGCTCTGACCTGGGGGTCCCCTTGGGCCATATTCCCAGCTGGGCAGTTAAGGGAACGCATACCAAGAAGAGGGAGGTGGTGCCATTGGGGAAAGTGAAGAGACAGGATACATTTCTGCAGGAGCCACAGCAGGCCGCCAGGTCCCGGGGGTGCTCATACTCCTGATTCTGCAGGACCGAGTGGGATGAGACAGGCCTCAGGCACGTGCCTACCTCCACCCTCCTGCTGGTCTGCTGTTGGCTTATGTCTGAGCCTAGAGCCCAAAGAGGGGCCCCCTGCACATCCTCAGGAAGGGAGACTCCCCGAAGACTCCCTCTGGGCAGGAAGGTCATTCTTAAATCCAGCTGAGGCCTTGTGCCCTGCAGTTCCCAGCCCCAGGGCATGGAGCGGCTCTCCAGGGCACCCAGAGACAGTGCCACTAGGAATTCAGGTGCCAGTTTGGGGTCCAGCTAGGCTTCAATTTGAGTCTCAGCTCCTGTGGGACTTTGGACAAATGACTGGATTCCCTTAAACTTGAGTTTTTTTTTTTCATTTGAAAAATGGAGATAATCCTAACCTTTTGCACCCAGTCACCATTTAGCCCTTACTAAAGCCAGGCTCTATCTAGTCCCTGGTCATGAGAAGTGCTCAACAAATAGAGACACAAACTCACAAACCAAAAGCAAGGGAACGTTCCAGGCACGGGCAGCATTCCACGAGTGTGTGTTCTGTCCAACAGCCACCCTGCCAGGCCTCTGCTCTTGCTGTTTCCCTCCTGGCGCTCCCAACCCAGGCCGTTCTGAGCACTGTCCACTGAGGTCTCTGAGTGCCCCTGCTGCCTACCCACTAGGCGGGTCTAGAAAGCTGGAAGGGCTTCTAGGAGCCTCTTAGGGACTGCGAGCTGTCATTCCTGCACCCCCCAACCCTGCCCACATGGTATCCTACCGCCTCGCAGCGGACATCACACAGCACAGAGGTGGTGTTGATCTGGTAGAAGCTGGTCAGGGGGTCCAGCACGTCGGTGCAGCGAGAGGTGTGGCACACGCCGTCCGCCGAGAGCTCCACCACCGTCTGGCCCGGTTGCATCACCCCCAGCTCTCGGCTCAGACACACGGGCGCCTTCACTGGACGGGTGTGCAGGACAACATCTGTTACCGAGAGCCGAGCACGCTTGCCTGCCCTGTCTAGCTGGCCCACGGCTCCCACCCCCAGCTATCGCTAGAACCTCTCCCCACTCACCGCACTCGTATTTGGCGCAGCCACACACATTCTCCACGCTACTCATGAACTCCTCGTCCAGCTGGGACTTCTCCCACTGGGTGGGGCAGAAGAGGTCAGCACCCTGGGGCTGGATCTCCCCTCCCCACACTCCCTCCCCAGCTGATTGCCACCTCCTTGCAGCAGGTAAGGAGAGGGCTGAGGGCCCCCCCCCCCCCCGTGGACCCTGGGCACCCTGGCAGCTCAGTCACCCTCCCAGTGAGGGAATATGCCAGTGTGCGGTCTCCGCTGAGTGGCCTCCCTAGTGCCCTCTCTGGGGCATCTGGCCTTGGCTTTCATTCTAGCACCCCTGTCAAAACAACATGGCTGCCGACCAGAGCCCTGTTTGGCTCACCCTACTTCCTTCCTTCTTTGCCTGTTGAGGGGAGCAGAGTGGGGGGATGAAATGAGAAGAAATGTGAGCAGGGTTGAGGTAGGGGAAGGTAAATGGAAATGCATGTAATCCAGAAATGAAGAAAAAAAATAGCTTTAAGCATAATTCATAAAGGATTTTCACTCCCCTCGTGGCTGTGCCGCTGCAGCCTGGTGGCTGACAGCGTGGTCTCTGGAGTCAAGTATCCGGATTCCAATTCTAGCTCAGTGATTTACTTGCTTCATGAGCCTGACTCACTTTCCTTGTTTGTATAATTAAGATAAAAATGATCTACCTCATTGGCGTGTGCTGCAAATTAACATGATAATATATATAGAAGATTGCAAAGTTCCCAGCATAGAGTTAGCTCTCAGTAAACATTTGCTTCTGTGATGATGATTACCACCACCATCATCATCTTTATCTGCACCATCTCCATCATTATCATGATCCTTGTACTTAAATGAACCTCACCACAGCTATGAGGCATGGTCGTGCCAGCTTTACAAATGAGGGCACTGTGCCCAGAGAGCAGAGCTTGGAGCAAGAATGCTGATTTCCAGTGTAAGGCTCTTTGCACTAGGTTAAGGGAACAGGGTTTCTGATGGAAGGGAGAGCAGAAACAAAAGAGGGAGGCCGACCCCAGTGGGGAGTTTCCTTACCAGATGGCAACGGGGCACTGGGATAGTGTCGCAGTCACATTCTGAAAAACATGGGGTGGGGCTGATCTGCCTCACCAGTGATGTCCAGGTGGAAGTCCCCCAGAACCTCCCAGGCCCCTCTCTGCGGGCACAGCCCCTCTGCCAGTCCCACAACACCACCTGGGGGATACAGCATCCCTGGCTGGACAGAGGACAGTGCTGGATCCTAATGCCAAGCTCCTCTCCTGATATGCGGGAGGACCCGCTAACCACGGGTGCTCTTTAGTCACCTGAGCTGTGTCCTCCCCTGTGCTCCACAGCCTGTTCTAGAGCTGATGAGGACCTTTCTAGGAAAGAACATCCTGAAGGTGGAACTTCTAACCTGCATTTCCCTAATGGATTCTGCAAATACATATCCCAAACAAGATCAGCTTTATTGCCCGGGAGCAGGCACATTTCTAAGCTTCAAGGGAGCTGACCCCTGACCACTAGCAAATTCTACCAGCTCCAGCTTCCAGGGGAGGAGTGATTGTGAAACTCGAGGCACTCACTCATGCAACAGATGGTTTTAAGTGTCTACTGTATGCCAACCTGACTTCCTGAGCTCTAGAGACAAAGCAATGAATAAAACAGACTAAGGCCACTGCTCCCCTGAAGTTTACATTCTAGTGATCTCTGGAAACAAACAAACAAACAAACAAAGAAAGGATGCCGAATATTTTCTCTCACATCTTTCCAAAATAACATTTTTATATAAAGCTCATGAGTGATCATTATTGATCATTGACAACCCCTCCCACCTGCTTCCCAAAGGGTTTAAGGTGATTTTAGCAAAAACTATGTTAATTATCAGGTGTGGCAATACAGATGTTATTGATGGAGAAGCTCCTCTTCAGAGCTAGGAACGTGTTAGTTCCCTTCTTTTACCCTGGGAGTGGGGTGGGAGAGGGGAGATGCAGGGATATTTGGCACTCAGAAGGTGGGTGCAGCAGGAGGAAGCAACTTAGTTGGCTTCCCTGGTGGAACTGGTTCCTCCTCAGCCCTCCTCCCCCAGCCCTGACCCCTGCCTTTGGGGAGGGGAGTCCGCTCGGGAGGGGACTTACCACAGGACTTGTAGGGGCAGCAGCGGTCTGGGCTCCACACCTCCACCAGGGCAGTGCCCAATCCACACTCCACTTGTGGGCAGCGGAAGCTCTCACACACTGTCGAGGGAGGGGGACGGGGGATTCAGACACCTAGGACTGTGAACCTCCAAAATGCAGCACTGACTAAAGCAGGTAGGTACATCTTGTCTTCTCCTTAGGGTCTCTCAGTGTGTGCAGACATGTCCAAGCTGGAGCCCAAGGAGGAAGACTGGGCTCCTACAGTCTCCCATAGAACTATTTAAGGGGCCTTAGTCTTCCAGCGAGGCATTCGCAGGCATGACAATGTCAGAGCTTGCATCACACACTGGGCCTCCCTCCCTGGGATTCCATGTTTCCCTGAGAACAGAAGGCCGATGGAGCTGTGGCCAGGGGAAGCTCTGCATATGGGGACCGTTTTCCTCGATAGAAGGATAGATGGAAGCCACCCACTTGGAGCTCAGCCCGCGCCGCTCCGCAGCAGCTGATGCTACAAACTCAGCCTCTCACTGCCCCTCTTCCTGCTCTTCAGGCGTACCCCTCTTATTTTAGGAGTCCCTGGCCATCCTCAGGTAGGAACGCACCAAGCAAGGAGTGAGGGAACAACTCTTTAGTGGGGAGGGGAAGTAAAAGGGCCAGGGCTGAAGATGAAAGAATGCCTATTTGATTTATGAAAGAAATTTCAATTAACTAATTAATTAATAAAAAAAGAAATTACTGGCACATGTTTAAGGATTGTCAATTGGTGTTACAAAAATTATGAAATGGGATGGATTTCACTCTGATAATACCCTCGAGGTCCATTCAAAGTGTTGCAAATGGCAGGATTTCATCTTCTTTGTATTTTAGCTGAGTCAGATTTCATTGCGTATATGCGATATACAGTAGGTAAAGACACAAAACAAATGAACAAACAAAATAAAACCCAACTGAACCAGCAGGTTGCACGTACAAAATAGTGGTTACTAGAGGGCAGAGAGATTGGAGTGGGTACAACAGGGTGCACCGTAAGGTGATGGATAGAAATTAGACTTTTGGTGATGAACATAATGGAGCTAATGAAACATATATAACGCTATAAACCAATGTTATTTCATTAAAAAAAATTGTGAGGGAGAAAGGTCCCCATCTTATGTGGTGTCAATGTAGTAGAAAGCTTTCTGGGAGAAAGAAGAAAAACATACATGTGAGACCCAGGAGCCACCACCCTAATCTAAGGTCTGTCTAAGGCTTGGGGTTCTCCCCCAGGTGGAGAGGACCCTGGGTCAGTCAGAGGGTGAGGTCTGTGTTCAACACTGGAAGGGATAAACCTGTTTGTCCTTCAACCTATGCCTCCCGCTGGCCTTGGGGATCTCCATGGAGGGAAAGGGAGTCTCTTCATGAAGCCTTAGAGACAGCCATGTCACAGCTTGGGCCCCACCACTGAGTTCCCACCTGGGCCCAGCTTCCTGAGGGGGGCCACCTTCAACATGGCTTCTTCAGCTGCTCCTGCTGTGAGGCTCTATACCTGGGGGCTCCCTGCTGCTCTCGATTTGACTTACATTGATCCTGTGGACATAGGGAAGGAGCCCCCCGAATCCCCCCAAGACTCACCGCACTGATACAGAGGGCAGCAAAGCTCTGTGGTGTTCCTGTCCACGGTGAGCGCCTCGCCTTCCTGACACTCGGGGATCGGATCTGGACAGTCACTGCAGGCTGAAGGGAGAGGGCCCACCACAGTCACAAGCCATCCCTATCACAGGGCCTTGGTGGCACCTAAAAACCAGGTATGACAGGAGCCAGCCTAACAGCAGTGTCCCCTGGCCCCATGGGACCTGTCCTGGAGTTAGGACCTGGAAGCTCTGCCTCCTGTCCCCTAAAATCTTTCTTTTTAAAAAAGATTTATTTATGTATGCATACAGAACTGGGGTTCAGGCCAGAGGTACGGGGGCAGTGAGAGGCTTCACCAGAGACAGAGTGGGGAGCAGAACAGGCAGATCGATGAAGTACACTGCTGAGGGGAGCAGCGGGTGGGTCAGGAGAGGTCTGCCACACTATGTGGTCACCTCCCGGGCAGGCGGGGATCGAACTCATGCTGCAGTGGCTTTAGCTTCTCAGTGCTGTGCTTTAACCCGCTGCACCACCAGGGAGGGCCCTCGCCTACAATCTCGCGCTGAGCAAGCACCGATTTCCTCGGGCTTTGCCATGACAGGGTGAGGTGGGATCAGTTTCCCCTTCTTTCATTACATGGCTCTCACTCTTGTCCTAGCGTCCACCCCACTGGAAACTCCCCTTTCCTCCAGACACCCAGGAAACAGAAGCAGGGAAGGGGGTGATGTCACATCACCCACCACAGAAGTAGGAGGTGCAGCACGAGTCCCCCAGGCGGCCTGCGACCAGCTTCTGGTCCTGGCGGCAGCTGGGAACCTGCTCTGCTTCACACAGATCTGGGTCACACTCTGGGGAGAAGACAGACTTTAGGCTCTGGCAGCAGATCCTTGCCAGGCCACACCGGCTGCCCGCCTGGCTCTGCCCCATCTCCTACCAGTCCCCTGAGCTGCCCCTGCCCCACTATCCCACCCCCCAAACCCCGCCAGGTGCTAAGTACCCCACTCCCCTCCCAGGGCCTCTTACCACAGCTGTAACTGGGGCAGCAGGAGTCCTCCTGGAAGTGGGTGAGGAGCCGGTGGCCTGGGCGGCAGGTGGGGGCAAGGCCCTCGCACAGCGTCTGGTTACACACTGGCCCGGGGCCACAGGGCCTGTTGCCTGGATGCCAGAACTCCCCCTGGCCTCCAGCACTGCCCAACCCCTGGACACCTGGTCCCACGACTCCCTGAGCCCTCAAACCCCATGTTCCCAGGAGGAGCCTCTGAGGGTGGCACAGAGGGTCCAGTGTGGCATAGAACATCGAGAGTCAGCATTTGTTGAGATGGTCTGTGTCTCCGCTGTTGTGAGGATCAGTATTAGGGTCTGTAATTCTCATCACAACCCCAGAAGTGGGGCTACTGGCAGGAGACTCCATGAAGGCACAGAGGAACTGTCCTGCCCACATCATAGGCTACAAGGTAATGGAGGAAGACTCCCCAAGCTGCCTCGCTCCACAGTGCGCGCCTTTAAGTCCAACCCCTCAACCCCTGCCCCTTATTTGATCTCCAATCCAGGAGGGTCTTCCACTCCCTCTCCCTCAGTGCATCCCCCCACAAGACACTTCGTGTCCCCAGGGCCTTATCTTGGGCACTGAGGCCAGGAGGCAGAGCTAAAGACTTTAACTACCCCACAGTTGGGGTCCAGGGAAGTGAAGGGTGGGACTTACCACAAACAGTCCCCAGGCAGCAGGGATCCTCAGTGGGCAGGAGCAGGGCCACCTCCCCAAAGCGTGGGCAGCTTTCAAGGCGAGGGCCAGGGCAGTCCATGTCCATGGGGACGATGGTGTCCGGAGCTTGGCACTGGTGCTGGCAGCAGCCGCTGAGGGAGCTATTCCAGGTCTCCCCCAAGGCCCTTGGCACCCCTGTACTGTCAGTGCAAGCTACAGTGGGGGGCACAGTGGGGTACAGGGGACTGAGGAAGGTGAGGAGACCCAGACGGCCCCAGCTTAGGCCCTCCCTGGAACGGACCACCCCCAACGCAAGCCTGGAGGGAAAAAGATGGGTCTCAGCCTCGGGCAGCAGAGGACTACAGTGAGACCAGCTGTGCCCCAAGCCAGCCTGGGAGGAGCCTACCGCACTTCTCCTCAGGGATGCAGAGTGCTGAGTGGCGCCGGTGCAGGATGGTGCCCTCGGAGCAGACGCAGCCCTCGCCCAGCACCTGGCAGCGCTCTGGGTCCAGCGGGCCCAGCATCCCATCCTGGCACGTCTGCGAGGGCTCACAGGCTGCCACACAAGCCTGGTACGTGGAGTCACTGGAGCACAGGAAGGCTGCAGGGGCACAGTGGGCACCAGACCTGGCTCAGACACCAGAGGTGAGGAGGGACTCGGAGCATCATCATCCACCAACTTCCGGACACCTGGTCCCATGACTCCCCAAGCCCTAGAACCCCATATTCTCAGGAGGAGCCCCTGAGGGTGGCACAGAGGGTCCAACGTGGCACAGAACAGTGGTCTCAGCAGAGACCTGAGAGAGCACAGTGTCGGTGTCGTTCTCATCCCTTAGTCTGGAAGTCAGCAGAGCACACCTGCAGCCTGTATGGCCTGTTGTCTGGTTTTGCAAGCACAGTTTATTTAAACACAGCCACACCCATTTGGAGTTATTTCATGTGATTGCTTTTCACTTCAAGGGCAACCAAAGCCATACTGTCCAAAAGGCTTAAAAAGCATGAGCTGGTCTTTTACAGAAAATGTTTCCAACCCTTTGCCCTAGATCAGCATTTTCAAACATTCTGGATTATAAACAAGATTTTACATTGTAGCACAATACACAGGTGCATCTGAAGGGTGGCCCTCAAACCTGACTCTGAAAGAACAGCTGGGGAGCTTTGGAAATACCATAGCTGGGACCCCCACCTGGGACCAATTGAAATGGAACCTCTGGTTATGGGGTCCAAGCATTAATCCTTCTTGAAATTCTCTGGATGATTTCAGGGGGTGCTCAGACCAGGAATGAGAACCACTGATATAGTGAAACAAGAAATTTTAAATGAAATAATTTTTCTCAGTGCAGCCACACTAGTATTTTCTGGTCTGATCTATTGCATTTTTGAAATGCTGGCGCTGACTCCCAAAATGAATCTTACACCCACTGAATTGACCCACAGTCTGAAAAATACTACTCATGATGATTTTGGGCTTTTCATCTTTTACCTGTCATATTGCAGGTGTGAGCTGTTTCCAGTCTTTCTAGATGTGTTCATGCTTATAAATCAAACTGGTGGAGTTTGGTCCAGCCCTACACAACCCACTCAAGCAAACCTAGTGGAGGTGGGAAGGGGGTGGATCTCATGCGCATGGCATGGAATGAAAGAAGGGAAAGCTGGCCAAAAAATGAAGAGGAAGGTGCCGACTTCTGGATGGTAACTACGGGGGAGGGTACGGCATCCTGCACTCATTACCCCGTCATCTTCAAAACAACCTGGGGGAGCTGTTAGTACTGTCAGTTTTATAGACGAAGCAAGCACACTGGAGAAACTAAGTTAGGCTTACTTGACTTCCTAATGTGAATTAATAGAAAACCAAATTTGTTGACTGACTGATTTAGTTATGGATTTATGTATAAAATAGTTACAGGAATGAATATAAATGAACAAACGAAGTAATCTGGGGAAGCGCAGACTGGGACACCAAAGGTGTGGGAGCAAGAGAAGCAGCATACAGCACCCCGACCTCGCCCCATCGCCCCAACTCACGGCAGTAGTCGGAGCGCCGCCACTCAATGCACACGTGGAACTTGTGGCACATGGCCACGTACACAGTCAATGCCACGCAGGGCTGCTGCACATACTTGGTGTCTCGGATCCACAGCTCGCAGAAGGACTCCGGGGGGACCTGGGCACACGTATCAGGTGACGCCCCACACCCCAGGGCTCACCTTCTCCAAGCCCTTCTGGGGCTGCAGTGAGCCTCTGCAGGTTCTCAGTCCGGTCCCCAGCTCACCCTCGCTGGGGAGCTCACCTGTGTCTTTGCCTCCCCTCCCAGCAGGCCCCCCCACGCCGCACCCGGTTGGCACATACAAAGCGGTGGCAGGCGCTGAAGGTGCGGTTGGACACCATGCGCAGGCAGGGCGAGCAGTCAGCTGTGGCACAGCTGTCCGGGCGGAAGCGGGTCTGGCCGACAGAGGTCAGGGAGCTGGGCAGCTGCCAGCTGTCCAGAAAGGGAGCAGGGTCCTCGTTCCCACCCACCACGGAGCCATCCTCCAGGGTGAGGTCATTGGCTGCGTCCCCATCACAGATACCTGAAAGGGGGAGAATTATTCCAGCGGTGATAACCATCACCACCCAGGCCCCCAGCACATTCCTCACAATTCTTTGAGGCTGGTATTACTTTTATGTCCATTTTATAGATGAGGGGAACAAGGGACGGAGGGAGAACGATGAACATGTTCTTTCACCATACCTGTCTTTGGTTTTAGGAAATATCAAAGTATTTAGGGGTAAGTCTGGAACTTACTTTCACATGCTTCAGGGAAAAATGCACATCTATAAAAATTGCCTGTGTATATAAAAGTACTTGAAAATCTTCGTTTAATCAGGATATAAATCCCCTATATCCTGGGGTTCTGCACCTGTGGATTCAACCAGCAGCCAAGGAGCTGGTTGCATGTGTGAATGTGGAACCTGTGGAAATCCACATTTAAGCAGCCAGAGGTGCAAATGGGGCAAAACATGAGCTGGTAAATTGGGGAAAAGGGAAATAGGACTTTCTTGTATTCATTTTTTAATTTCTAAGTTTGACATATCAAAATAAAAATGACCCCAGAAAATATGCCTTAGCAGCGGTTGCTAGTTTCTTATCACAGCGGTTTCCTCCTCTTCCCGGCCATCAGCCAGCCTGCTCTTTCTGCGTGTAGGTAAGACCTGATTGAATTTCAACCAGTGGAGTGTGAGAGAAGGTGATGGGCACAATCAGATCTGGCTCACAGAAACTTCCCAACTCTATCTTGTAGAACTGGAAATGCACATTGAAAAAGAGCCACAAGATGGCAGGAATATAGGGGTTTGAATCATCACTCCCCATTTGGGAGTATGTGTGCAGGAAACGAATACTATTGTGTAAGGCACTGGGGATGGGAATGAGGTTTATCTGTCACAGCTTTTAAAATGACCTTAACTTCCAACTTCATTTCCCATACTGTGGGCCTAGACCCCACTCTCCGACCCATGACTTCGTCCCTCACAGGCACCTTCCCTTGAACTTCCCGACTCTGTGTAACAGGTTTTGGTTTGCAGGTTTATCCTCTAAGTGCAAAAACTCATTTTCCTTTAGCTTTCCACCCTCAGGAACTCCCCAAATTGCTTAGCAGAGTGTCCAGGATACCAAGTGCAAACAATAGAGCTAGAAGTTAGCTGACTTTTGCTCTGATAACCTCCGAGTACCAGTTTTGTAAATATAAACCATGATTTAGTTTTAAAGAGAACAAAACCTTTCTGATTTTACCAGTGTTCCAATGACCCCATCTTTGGTCTGCATTATAACAAAGGTGTCACAAAGCTGTCATAAGGAGGAGCTGGCCAGCTGGTTCCTGCTGCTTGCAGGACACCTTGCTGGGTATAATCAAGGGAGAAGTGGTAAGAGGTGGTGATGGGTGTGTGTAAGGAGAGAGGTTCGTTTAAGGATGGAGTTTCATAATGTCTGTTTTGTTGGCTGTTCTGTTCTCAGTGGCTGGTACAAGGTAAAGATGTGTTGCAGAAAAGAAAGAATAGGCAGACATATGTGTGTAGAGGGCATTTTGAATACAGGCCCACGAGTGTGAATGAACAAATTCTGCACAGAAATGTGATGTCTGGCACACAAGGAGGTGCGTGAGTGTTCCTAGGTGATCCTGCCCTTTAGATACAGAGTCTGTTGTGGAGGGCTCCGTGGGGACCCAGGGGTTTGTGTCCACACTCAGACTCCTCTTATAAAAAACATCCAGTCCCTTGGCGCATGCTCTTTGCGATCCCCCTGTGGTCTGAAAAGTACTCATTCTGCGTGCTGGGACAGCTCTGCTGTGAGACCTCAGGCAAACCACTTAGCCACTCTGAACCCCCCTTTCTTCTTCCGTTTAATGCCCAGCTCTTAGGGTTGTTGTGTGGATGTCTTGAAATAAGTGAGATCAGAATGTGGAAGTGCTTTGGGAAGTGCCCAGGCTGATGGAGATGGGAAGGATTATCTGGTATTAGGCTGCTATCAGGGAAGCTGACAGACAATCACGGCTGAAGTAACAACTGGCCAAGGCCAGAACACTGAGCCATCTCCCTGCTGGCAGATTTGCCCCAGAACACAAGATGTTCGGTCTCTCTGGCTTGGCAGTGCCTCTGGTGCCACCTCTGGCCTGGCACCCTGTTCCAGTTTTCTCTGGTCCAGGGGAGTCTGTGTCTTGGAGCAGTGGTGAACCCAGAAAACATTCCCCACTCCCAGCTGGGGACCACGTACCACATAAGCCCCGGCCCTGGGACTCGCTGGCTTTGCTGGCCTCCAGGATCATGAGCCCCGAGCTGTGGAGCCACTGGATCTGGATGTGCGATGGTGTCCGGATCACATACATGTGGCCTGTGTCCTCAATTCTGAACCCGAACCTGCTCACAGGAGGCCACACAGGCTGCAAATCCACAGTCACCTTGGGGGCGGGGGTGGAATGGGGGCATAGCTCATCTGTCTGTCCCCTCGACACTCATCTGCCCATTTATGTATCCAATTAGCCAGCAGACATTAAGCAGCTTCTATGTGCCAGCCTCTGTTTTAGGCACATAAGTCCAAGGTGGCGTGAAGAATTGTGCAAACATTCTTATGAGCACAAAACAGTGAAACAAGAGGTGCAGCAAGGGGAGGCAGGTTGCACCTCTTCACCCAGATAAACACCATCCTGAGTCCTTTTAAGTCAATTTCTTCTTCCCTGAGTCTGCTAAGATTATTTCTTCTGAGAGATTTCCTTAAATCCCTAACCTCTGGGTTGCACGCTCCTTTTCCAGAGGCTCCCTATCTCTGTGCTGACCACTAAGATAAAATCTATTTATTACCACATCGAAACTCTCATTGGACTTTGAGTTTCTCTCATGAGGGGCTGGGAGGCGAGGGAAGGAGAACAACTGCTGAATGAGTACAGGGCTTCCTGTTGGGGTGGATGAAAAAGTTTTGGAATCAGGCAGGGGTGGGGCTGTATGGCCATTAATTTTCAAATGGTTAATTTTAGGCTTATATCAATTTCACCTCAATTGAAAAAGAAAAGACAATAGAAGACATTCTTCAAAGTATTGACAGAAATAAGTCAATTGGCTATCATTTCAAGCCACGTGAAAATATCTTTAAAAAAAGAAATGAGATCAGGGCCCTCCCTGGTGGCGCAGCCAGTTAAAGCACAGCACTAAGAAGCTAAAGCCACTTCCGCACCAGTTCGATCCCCACCTCAGAGGTGATCCACATGGCAACAGACCTCTCTTAACCCACCCACTGCTCCCCACTCTGTCTCTGGTGAAGCCTCTCACTGCCCTTGCACCTCTGGCCTGTACCAGTTCTGTTGCATAAATAAATTAATCTTTAAAAGAAAAGAAATGAGATCAAATTGTTCAGACATATAGTAACTGAAAGACTACAACTAGTAGGTTGGCACTATAAGAATGCTAAAGGAAGTCCTTCGGGAGGAAGAAGGGTGGAAATCTAGATCCATCCAAAAGATAAAAAGCACAAGAAAGGGTAAATATGTGGGTAAATAAAAATCTTTCTTTTTTGGGGGGGGGGGTTTAAAGATTTATTTATTTGTGCATACAGAACTAGAGTACAGGCCAGAGGCTCAGGGGCGGCGAGAGGCTTCACCAGAGACAGAGTGGAGAGCAGAACAGGCAGATAGACAAAGTACACTGCTGAGGGGAGCAGTGGGCGGGTCAGGAGAGGTCTGCCAGCATGTGGTCACCTCTGGGGCAGGCGGGGATCGAACTCATGTGGAAGAGGCTTTAGATTCTCAGTGCTGTGCTTTAACCTGCTGTGCCACAAGGGAGGGCCCATAAAAATCTTTCTTATATTTTAAATTATGCTGGATGATAGCTGAAAGCTTAAGGAAAAATAATATTCACTGTAGACCTTATTACATATATAGAAATAAAATGTAGGCCAATATTAGCTCCAAGGAGGTGAGAGGCAGTAGAAGTATGCTGCTGTGAAGTTCTTATTGTATGTGTGATGTGGTACTAAAAATGCATACTAAAAACCCTAAAACTACCACCAATAGAGAAAAAGGTCTAGATAATAACCAAACATTGGAGAGGAAATATAGTTATTTAAAACAATCTGACATATGGCAGATAAAGAAAAAAGGGTGGGGAATAAGTAGATGGGACAAAGAGAAAACAAAAGCAACTGCAGGGTGTATATAAACCTAATCATTCTGATGACCACATTTAATGTTAGTATTGTTTAAACACCCCCAACTAAAAAGTACATACTGTCAGAATGAGTAAAAGAAAAGTAATATTTATTTTGTAAAAATATGCTACTTTAAGACGACTGGATTAAAAAGATGTGGTACATATGCACAGTGGAATATTATTCAGCAACCAAAAAAGAGAACCATATGTT